AAGAGGGCATGAAGTTTATTGCTATTGAAACGTACTTGTTTCTGAGGTTGCAGAGTTTAGAGGTTACTCTCCTTCCACGGCTAAAGGATCCACTATGTCACAGTATCAGGAGCCTTACTGTTCTTCTTAGGCATCTCTATAATCTGGTACGCTTCTCTATTAGAGCATACAACATTAGGAACCGTTCCAGAATCTGTCAATGTTAAAACCGTCAGTGATAGTAGCATAGGTTGTGTTATCTGCACTCACACCGGCCTTTGTTATATGCTCAAACACACACGCTTAGCTTCATCTCCCTTATGAAGCTTGAACAACCTACGAGTAAGATCGTTGTATGTAACAACACATTGCTTAATCCCATTCTTTGGCATTACCCGGTTCAGCACATCAGGGGCTTCTTCTGCTCTTCCTTGTATAAGCAATCCACATATAACAGTAGTTAAAGTCATCATATTTCATGGCTTCATCCACCCTACCCATCTTGCAAAATGCATCAATAACTGTGTTAAGTGTATACTCATGGAGCCCACAGGCTACAGTCTCCCTGAGGCATACTGACCAGTACGTTCATAGATTCTAGTTCTATCTGTTTCTTTTTCTTTTCTCAGCAACACCAATTTGCCCGTGTCACTCATATCCCTTTTATAGACTCTGCACTAAGAGCTAATAAGTATACTCAACATGGATAAAAACCAAACTCAGATCCCTTTTGTAGCAACTGATAAGCTCGCATACACCCACCATCCTTGCAAATACTGTACCGGGCTTCTGCTTCTATTGCATCATCTTCTTTTTCCGAGTGTATTCGTAGTTCAACAACATGATCATCAGTTTTCTGCAGCTGGAATACGGAGTCAGATGAGGTAGAGATGGGTTTAGACAAGGAGAAGAAGGTATTATAGAAGCCATTTTTCTCTAGAGCATTACTGCTCGATGTATTGGGCTTAAAAGTGTTGTTGATGTATATAAGCCCAACCCATCTATTTTGGAGAGGGTGTAATTTTCTTCCTGATTAATTAAGAACTAGATGCTGATTTAGTTTGGTTTAACTTGTATTCAACATAAATTTATAAACTGCTGATTTTATACAAAAATTCATATATATATTTTTATATTTTTTTGATTTACATATAAAGTAAAATATATTATTTTAAAATATATTGATAATATTTTTATTTGTACATAATATTATTATAATAATAATTTTATAACTTAATGTAATTGCACGAATTATATCTGAACCTGTTATTTTTATTAATTTATTTTAAAATGCAATCATATACTGATTTTTATTTTTTATTTTTCTATGAATTATTATTAATTTTATAATATTTTTTCTTGAAAATTGAACTCTCAGATTTTTTTGACTAAATTAAATAAAGTAATACTATATTTAAAAATTGTTTTATATAATAAATACTATATTTTAATTGATATTCCTATCTTATCAATAACACCATCAGATTTAATATTTGAATTAATTAATTTAAATTAATTTTAAATGTGATGATAGAATATGTAAATATACATGTTTTCAAACATACTTCTTTTTAATATTGCTATCCTTGTTTCCAAATAATACCAAAATGTACTTCAGTTTTAATAATATATATTATTCTGAGAATAACAAAAATTCTTAAAGTTTCCCCAAATGACTGGATTTATATTTCAAAAATAACAGACAAATAACTCTAAAAACATATTACTATAATATTATTTGTGAAGTAATTTTTTTGTATTTTAGCTTTCATCTTACAAATTAGAGTGATTAAAATCTTTACTACCTTAATGAATAGTTAAATTTGTTAATATATAATTAATTAGAAATTAAAAATTAGTTTAATGATTTGATATTTATCATTATCTAAAAACAATGTATATTATGTTATAAAGTATTTATTAATCTTAAGGAATAATTATATTTTTAATATAGAATTAGCCATAAACTAAAAACAACATTTCATTGATTTGGTAATTATAATTATATAAAAAGTTTATATTATGTTATCCCCAAAGAAAATTTACATCATAATTTTTATAAGAAATTAAAATGATATATAATCCTTATATATATATATATATGTATATAATTTTATGTATACATATGTATTTTAAGTTTATTTTATGCATTAAAATATAGTTTTAACATACTGAATTTTTTTTCATCTGTAAATAATTAGATGTTTAATTTACTATTAAATATTTCAAATGCATAAGTGTTTTCAAGTTTATTTTATGTACAAAAAAATATTTATATCATGATAAAATTTTGTGTATATATAATTTTATTCTTTAATCTATTATTAAATATTTTGACATAGATATATGACCAATAAATTATCCTGATGATATATGAATTGATAGAATATTTATTTTTAAATATAAATAAATGTATACTCACAAATGCGGGAAAAACACCTAGTATATATACAAATTACATTTTCTTTCATATCTTCAATATGCAAGCACTTGTTACTATGGACTTATAAAATCATGGTTTGAACAAAAAAATTGCATGGAACCCGTATTTATATAGTGTAGAAATATAAAACCCTCGGAAACTTCCAGACTACGAGTTTCCAAGATCCAGTAAACTCTCTAAATTATTTAAAACTATTTTATTTGTAAATTAAAACCGTTTTGTTGAATAAGAAAAGAAAAAAAATATAAGTTATTATGTGATGTAGAAGAAAAAAGCAGAAGACAGGAGATTATTTAAAACAATTCTTTAAAATATTTTCAAACTATTTTATTTTTAGTAATTCACTTACCTTTTTTAATCCACGTATACGTAACAAGTGAAGGAGATTTTGTAATCATCTTCTAAGAAATCCATTTTATTGAGTTAAAAAAATATTATATTTATCCCAACAACAAAAATACAGGCCGTCTACGATAATCACTATAACAACTAGGTATATCTAAGTCTCATCAAACAAGGCACTTTGTAATATACAAAAAATTATAAACGATTTTTTGGAGAAAGAATGTTAAAAGCGCCAGCTACCACACGCGTGGAAATCTAATGTGGTACGAATTTGAATTCAGGTTCCTTAAGGATCCATAGAACGTCTTGATCATCCGACCACAGACGCGTGGTTCACTTTATAGTATAAGATCTTAAGAATACCTCCAACTCACCTTTATCTTTTTCTATTACAAACATATTGAAAATACATTCTCTTTATTTTAAGATTTCTCTACTATAAAAAGAAGAAATATAGGTGGATTAGAAATTTAGATATGGTCTAATATATTGTTCCATCACATGATCACTAAAACCAGTAAAGAAAAGACATGATATTTATTAGCGTATATATCTTTCACAAAGTAAGGATTAACATATTATTATAATTTTCCAAAAATCGAGAAAATCAAATGGATTAGGGCTTGGGAAAAGACAGAAAAGGGAGATTTAAGATCCCAAAGAGAAGAAAAGGGTTTATGGAAAAGTGGGTTTGAGAGAGACAAAGGAGATGAGGTGAAGAGTGTAAAGGAGACAAAGCTATGGGGCAGTTGAGCACAAGAATAATAGTGAAAGCCACCATACACACATACATTTTATCTCTCATATTTCGTATAAACCAAGAAAAATTGAAGTATAGTTGAAAAAAAGAATGAAAGAAAAGGAGTGATGGGGAGAGATGGGAGAATGTCACGTCGTTTTAAGCTCCTTCACATCTCCCCATATCATTCATATCCCCAGAATTCCACGCTCTTCCCTTTCTCTTTCCCTCTATCCTCATACTAGTCAAGCTTTTAATAAATATGATATTAATATACATATATATATAACTAAGGATGTAGTTGCATCTTCAAAAATCGTTTAGGGAAATCCTAAATCTATCAGTTAGAGCTCATTTCTCTGTTCGTGCGTGTAATTCTTACGTATTAATGGTCATGATGTTCCTTTTTGATGTATGGTATTGATTTTATGGGATGTTCCTAGGCCTAGATGTTCCCAAAGAGACAGTACACTAAGGGCATTTGTTAAGTAGTGTTCATCCTGGAATATGTTTTTATCTCAGCTCTGTGCCTAAGTGTACAAGCTAACCAAGTTTTAGTATGTATCTTTTTGTACTACATATTATAGAGTATAATTGGTGAACATTAGAGTTACTAAAGAGTAATTAAAAATGGAGGAAAAGAAACAAATAAATAAATAAATAAATAAGAGAAAACTATTCGAGGAAAATGTTTCTCTGTAAAAAAAGAAGAAAGTTATACTCTATAAATTCACAAAAACTGTTTACTCTGTATCAACTTAAAACACTTATCTTGCTTGGTTTTTGTACCTGTGTAACTCATCCAGAAAGAGGTTTCCCTATAATATTTTGCTTTAACATAGCATACCAGCCATAGTACTCCTGAACTGTAACTTCTAATAGGTTCGAATATAAATTGTCCATCAAATAACCAAGCCTAGTTAACCCTTTATCAATAAATAAATAGATAATAAACAAGCCACAACGAAGAAGTATTCCGGCAATTATATGATGAAATAAATCCAGGCTTAATATATATAACAGAATGCAGTACATTCTACATGGAAAATAATTGTATTATGTTTTGCTTTGATTAAAAAAAAAATCTATTATGTTATATAAAATTGTTTTTGTTTTTGAAATTTGGTGGATATATAATTAAAAAAATAAAAGGAAACAACAAATCAAATCAAATATATGATACTATATCCATGTGAAGAATAGAATGTTAATTTGTCAAAATAATACATGGAAAAAGATATCTCTCGGTACTATATATATACATACAAAGAACTGTGCTTATGAAACCCCATTTGCATGCTCCCATTCTCACATTCACACACAACGATATCTCAAACATTATCACTCTATTTCAAACCCAAACTAAAAACAGCAAATAACACTTTCTACTATTGTCTATTTCCTCATTCACATCTCCTAACAAAGCCCTAATATTCACTTGCTATCTCTCTCTCCGCTCATTTACATACATAAATAAAATTAAAATAGTTCAAAATGTGGATGATGGGTTACAACGAAGGAGGTGCTGATTCCTTCAACGGAGGAAGAAAGCTTCGTCCTCTCATCCCACGCCTCTCTTCTTTCCCTACTGCCGCCGCAAACACCAACTCTGACCACCGCTTTAATATGGGTATCCCTCGCTCCCGACAAAACTATTCTCTTTCTAAAGCTCATTTTCTTCTTCTTTTTTTTTCTTGTTAATTTATTTAAAAATGTTCTGTATCTAGAGAAAGGCCAACCCTCAGTTTCTTGGTTGTTATGATTTGTAAAGCAGTGGTGACAACAATGACTGCGGAGCAGAACAAGAGGGAGCTGATGATGCTAAACTCAGAGCCTCAACATCCACCGACAATGGTGAGCTCACGGTGGAATCCGACACCTGATCAGTTAAAGGCCCTTGAAGAGCTTTACCAACAAGGAACAAGAACTCCTTCGGCCGACCATATCCAACAAATCACCGCCCAGCTACGACGGTACGGGAAGATCGAAGGCAAAAACGTTTTCTATTGGTTCCAAAACCACAAAGCCCGAGAACGTCAAAAACGGCGACGACAGATGGAAAATGGCCACGATGAATCAGTCTTTACGACAACGAATCTTGTCTCAAACCAAGGATTCGACAAGAAAGATCCACCAGGTAAGAGACCATAACACTAGAAACAGAATATGACTTATACTTCAAACAGTTAAATCTTGACTTTAGTTTTATGTTTAAAATATTACAGGTTACAAGGTTGAACAGACCAAGAACTGGATATGTTCGGTCGGTTGCGACACACAGCAAGAGGTATATATGTGAATAGCATACATATGTTTGTTTCTACTCACTTTATTATATATTATGTCTAATGGGGACATGAAATGGAATGTGATTAAGGGTTTATGGTATGGTATAATTGGCATATGATTACAAAGAGAATCTCTTTATGAATAATTGTATTCTGTTTTTTGGATGTTTGGGTAATTTTTGCAAATGAAAACAAAGGCAAAGATATGATGATGATATATGGGGCAGCGGAAAATACCAAAAACTGCTTATTGGGAAATACAAAAATAAGTATTTTTGTTAGGAGATGATTTATATTACTCGTAATTTATTGAGTATTTTGTATTTTTTTTTAAATAATGGATTGATCCAAAAAGCTGCAGACACTTTCCTTTCTGTCGGGACAGCTGCTACGTAAGCTGTATTTCCATCAACACATGCTTGAAAAGACGGTTTTGACCCTGCTCTTTAACGGTCTCACTCTCCTTGACGCTGTCCTTTCTGGAATTTTATTTTCGCAGATTATTCTTTGGGTCTGTATGATTCGTTTTTTAAGCATAAAGTCTGTCGCTTTGCCAAGATTTTGACTTATTTGTTACCAAGTTTTACATTTTCCAATGTTAATTGACATTTCAAAATTTCAAAATCTTGAATTTATTTTTTCTTTTGCATATCAGAAACCTCATGACCATCAGCATCAGGAGGAACCTATCTCAGTACCGATGGTAGCAACGAAACGCAATGGTCGTCATGGAGGAGACGAGATACAAAGCTTTCCTGTGAGAAATTCCATGTGGCAGATGATGCAGCTGCCACCTGGACGCTACCCTTCTTCACAACATCATCATCAACAAATCAATCTCAACGCAACTACAGTTTCGTCAAACTTGTCTACTAGCAGCAGTAACGTTCCCGCGGCTAAAGATACAGTCACATTTTCACCTTTATTTCCAAGGACAAGAGCAGCAAGGAACACAGAGACTTGTGATGATAATAAAGATCAAGAACAACATGAAGATTGCCTAAACGGTGAACTGGATCATCAGGAACAGACACTAGAGTTGTTTCCGTTGAGAAAAGAAGGTTTTGTTAGCAGTGGTGGGGATGGTGGGAAAGAGAAAGAGGGTGACAATCACTGCTTTTATGAGTTTCTTCCGTTGAAGAACTAGTACTACTTGATTTTTTTCAAGTGCAACATGTCTTTGTGTTATCAGATTACTAGATTAATTGATCAATCAAGTTATAGCTAGAGAAAAAGGATTAATTAGCTAGGGTTTTGTTTGGGAGTGAGGGCAGGCGTGTCTTTAAGGTGTTGATGTTAACATTTCATAAGCGTTTTGCCTTAAAATTCACTTTGGACCACTTTCTTTAAATGTTAAAAAGACCTAAACAAAACTTAAATAAAAAAAATACAAACACATGTGATTTTCCCATTAGTTTTACATTTGTGTGGATATGGTGAGTTAGGGTTTTGGATGAGGAGTTTTGCTTGATTTGGTTGGTGGCAGAATGAGTTTGGTGATGATATCAAGTCTTATCACAATGGGAACTCATACACTTTTTTTTTTGTAGTATACAACTATTTAAAGCGTAACTACTATAGAAACTAAAAGAAAATAACTACGAATCACAAAATTAAAGTATATGCATACACACACATGATCTATATATAATACTGTATATGTCTCAATTTTAGCATGCGTATCTTTGAGTTATAAATGTGAGAGAGACAAAAAGAATTGGGATGATGTTGAAGTGACTAAGAAAGTGGGAGGAATTTGATTTGGGACTCGTTTTGTTTTCTCTTCACTTGCGTGCCAACAAAATGCCTTTACATTTACTATTTATATAAACACTTTATTCCTCATATCAACGTCACTACTTTGTATTTGTGAACGCAATTAAAATAGTCTAAACAACATTATATGTAATCGGATAAAGAATAAACCAAAATCCATTATAACTTATATTCAACAATCGGATGTTCAAATTAGTTGAAACTATACATTTTTTTGTCTTTCAGAATGTATTTTTAATGTGTGTAAGCAAAAGTCATTCAAAGGAGTACTTTTGTTTTAGTTGTGGCGTTCATAACTCAAAGGTAATTTGTACTAATTGAAAACGCAATGCTAAACTACCCTTGATGGTTGTTCACCTAGTATTTAATTGGTGTATTCTAAATCCGCCTCTAACAAATATCTAAATGTAAGAAACGTTGAGACATGGCCAACTTTTTGTTTAATTGGTATATCTAAGAAGTTTCAAATATATAAAAAAAAAAAAGTTTCAAATATATCTAAATTTTGGTTAAGGACCTTATATGTATAAAAAAGTCTTGGTGAAAATGTAGAAAAATAATGATAAAAGTAAAGGCAAACCTCATTAACAGAAAAGATGAGAGGAAAAAAGAGCCAACAATAATTTTCATAAGAACCTAATATTTTGAATTTAAACTTTATAAAATGGAATTAGAGCACACTGTATATATATAGTATAACTAACGAGTGCAATAAGAAGCCTAGCCACCATTACTTTCAAATACGAGAGAAAACAAAATATGAGAGACAGAACGTGACAAAAGGAAAAAAGAATGGCTTTTAGAGGAGAGAAGAGTCATGACAAAATAGAAATTACAGGAACAAAAATTATTGAATAGCTTATTCATAGAAGAAGCCCCGACACTTTTCTTTCTTTTCCAAAAGATTCATTCATTCTTTTATGTCTCTTATGTACGATTCAATGCGACTATTTTCTTTAATAATAGTTGTAGAAGAAAGATAGAGAGTAGTTTCATATGTTTGTATGGCTTATTTTGATGCATTATTATTCCCTCTTCCTCTCTTGTATTTGCTCCTTTTCATGATGATTGTGTGTTTATGATTCTTGCGAGCATGCATGGAAGTAAGCAAAAACATAACTTTAATCAATTTGTACGAGAAAGTGAAAAGCAAGAGCAAAGAAATGTTAATGGGTACGTACGTACATATTCAACAGACTACCACACGTACAATAGTAATATATTTTGTTGTTAGGAAACAAAGAAACATGAATCTTCTCGTGAATTGTAACGAAGGTTAATGGTAAAGTGTAATCGTACGGTGTAATCTGTGCATGTCTGTGTCGTAGTATTTATCCTAATCATCAATGCCCTAATTTATCCATACGCTTTAATTACTTTTTAAAAGACTACAAATACGAATTTTAAAATCACATAATGATCAGGGAAAATGTCATAGCATATGTATGGCCAATGTGGAATCTCGCATGAAAAAATGATGGCTAATTGCAAGGTGGTACTAATTCACACGAATGTGTATATATTCAGATGTAGGTTCGCATGATCTAATATTGTTTTAAATTTCTGTGTATGTAACCCAAAACATCTCACCACCTTGGCGCGCACATATATGATCCTTTAGTTTTAAATATTGGCAATATATTAAGCAACAATGGGTTTTATTTCTATGTAATGCGTATTTGACTAGCTAGAGAAGTCCCTAGCTGTAGCTGAAGTCTTAAACAAGAAACTGAAATTTCGTTAGTAAATCTGAGTCATACTTATAATGAGTCAAATGTAAGTAGCGTAGAGGATCTTTTTTTTCACCCGTGTAAGTCAGCCGGTATAAATTACTCAACCGGATAATTTTCTATCAACTAAACTTGTTTTAATGTAAAATCGAATAACCTTGATTTAATATATGACGGTTGTAGAAGAAAAAGGAGAGACTTGGTCTATCTGTCCCATACACACATAGTAACTTATAGAAGAAAAAAATGATCCCTTGTAAGAAAAACCTCTTGAAGTCGATTCAGTAACTTGCTAATTTGAACATGAAAATGACAACTAATATATTAACAAACAAACAAACAAAAGAATCAGCGAATAGTGGAGAGACACTAGTCATTGATAATTTGAAGAACCATGTAAGAGAAGAGACAAATTAAAAGAAGAGGAGAGATAGAGAGAATTGACAAGACAGAAAGAGGGGTGAGACTGTGAGAGACAAAATGGTGACAGGCATTGAGGTGGACCATTGGTTGGCTTGGCTGTGACTCACCCGCTCCTCTTATTCTCTGCATTTATTTTTTGGTTGAACGTGTCATGTGATTCATTTCATCTTCTTGGTTTCTTCTTTTCTCTCACAAACCAATATATCAAAACAAAACGATTAAAGCCTATTTTCAAGTCCTTTGTTATATTATTGTCAGTGATCTCTCCTATCATGAGGTCATCATAATACATACATGTCACATATCTACGTGTATATATTTATACACACATGCAGACAAGAGATCTTTCACATTAGACACTACATAATATCCTGACAATGTAAGACTGCATCAAATTCTCTGTTATATTTATTATACACAATTTATTAATTAGCTATCGAGGGAAGTAGATATTCTAGTCCAATTTATTTATTATACTTTACTCATTTAGTCTACCTAGACATGTAGTGGCCTTTTCTAAATGATGTAATAATATCTAACGTGGATTTTGCGCTGTTAATTGACCGTTGGGATAGGTTATAGGAAAATTGATAGATATCGCAAATAAATTGACTGTAAGAGATTGAAATTGACACTGTTGATAACAGAAATAGAATAGTAGGAGTAGTAGAGCTAGGGTTGGGTCAAAACCTAAATAGGAGTCTGAGGAATCTTGTTTCTGTGTGTATGATTTCAAGGCCTTTATTTCTCCTCCACAGTCTATATTGCACAGTCCTATGGCTATGCCTTGTAGAATGTTTTTCTCTTGATTTAGTTTTATTTGCTTTTTGGTTTTTTACCCCCAGGCTACGCCTACGAGTGAAAGAACAGTAGCAATTTAAAAAGCTCAATGAGATGTATATATTTAGATAAGCTAATAGCGATGTCAATGAGGAGTACTTCAAATCTGCTGATTGGGAATAAACAATAAAGGAAACACATCAACCATATGAAAGATCAGACAGAAAAAAAAAGAAGTTTTGGTTACAGAACGGGCTTAGGCTTATAAAATCTCATCAGGACTCGAAATCAGTTTTTTGATCTGGGGCACAACAGATTTGCGGACTAGTTAACTCTTCGAACCAATTTTTTTTTGAATCTGGGGCATAACAGATTTGCGAACTAGTTAACTTCAAACGGCAAATCTTAGAGAAAGCAAAGAGAGTAAAGAGTAATTTTCACATATTATCATGTGAATGATATCCGTTTAGAACTTATATATTATTATGTGAATAAATAATTTGCAATCACTTGGACCCATATTTATATCAGATTCAAAACTCGATTTTTTTTCTTTAAAAATACATATTTATCGTAGAAAAATATTTTTTTAATCCGCAAAGATATACAGTATATTACGGGAGTCGAGGCTCCCACCCCTTCCATATATCAGCCTTGATAGCAAGACAACGACCGGTCTAACGAATATTGGACTTTTACAAGTGTATATAAATTTAAAACAATTCTTGAATTAACAGTTTTTTATATATCCTATCCGCTGATCCAGTCGAGAACACACTTGATACTAAAAAGTGGACTATTTACCACATTGCTTGACCTGAATTCGAATGTCTTCCGTCTAATATTAGGGGTGGAAGACCGATCGTCTGTTACAACCCATCATATTAGCCATTTACGGCGAAACCCATGTAAAAACTAACCAATTAATAATAATTTGATTCATAAGAAAAATTGAACTCATAATTAATGTAAATACACATTAATTAATCCCCAAGAGATTGCCACTACTTGGTTTTGTTCCCTAAATTAATTAGCACTAGAAATTAACCCGTACATTCGTGTGAGTATATTTTCTATTTTATAAATATATAACTTTGATATTATCATAAATATTTTAGATATATAATTTATATTTAGTGTTATATATTATATAACTCTTTAATTATATTGCTTAGTTTTCTTATTACATTATTAATATATTGTGATTTGCTTACATGTTTACTTTTTTTATTAATTGTTATTACATTTTCGAGTTTAGTACAATAAATATTCTATAATCTGAAATAATCAAATAATAAATCGCCTTTAAAATATCCTTTTGAAAATATGTAGTTGTAGAACAAAAAGTTTAACATCTATTATAACTTTATTTTTTATAAGAATATTACATGGTTAAGAAACTTTAACCCGTTTTAATGTAGATAATAATTTATATAGATGAAAGTATTTTTAAATAAATAGGTTACTTTTTTAGTTTAATATAATTTTTCATATTTAATATATAATAATTATATTTTAATATAATATAGACTATAACAAAACTTATAAAAGTAGAATATATAAATATTTTTTGATAATCAGAAATAATCAAATATCACTCTTCTTTTAAATATATTTTTCGAAAATATATAATTGTAGAATCAAAAGTTTAACATATGTTAATAACTTTATTTTTATAAGAATATTACATAGTTAACAAATTTAATCCGTTTTAATGGTAGATAATAATTTATTTAAATGAAACTATTTTTAAAAATAAATTAGCTAATTTACTAATTTAATATTATTTGTCATATTTAATTTATATAATTCTTCTATTTAAAATAATATAGACTATAATAAAATTTATAAAGTAAAATGTTTTATTTTTGTTTTATATAATACTTAATTAATTTTAATTTAAAATAATATTATACTACTAATTACGAAATTAATTAATGCTTTATTTAACAAACATATTTTAAAATTCAGTAGAATTGTGTTAGATTTTTTATTAATAGATTTTGCTATAACTAAAAACAAAATTCAAATTTATGGTTAAAACTGATTTATTATTAATATTTTTATTGAATATTATGTCATAGTAGGTAACTAATGAAATAAACCTACTATGATTTTTGTACAATAGATAAAAATAACGACTCTATTAATAGAGTAGATTATTATGCTTGCACACGAACCTCTGATTGAAATGGTTTAAAAAGCATAAAAAGTCAATATGGATAAATTTAAATTGTTTTGATTAAATATTGAACTCATGAAATATGAATATATATATATATATATATAAACAAGCATCATAATATGTGTTCACTACTATATACAATATAACTTCTTTAAATTAATATTCTATAAATTAATATACTCTATTAAATAATATACTCTATTAAATAATATAGAATAATATAATTTTATATCTATAAATTAATAAAAAAATATAGTTTTGGTGTAGTCCAACATTATTAATTTATAGAGGTATCATATAAGTAAAAAAGTAGTTGCTCGTGTTAATCAAATTAAAGCCTTAATTAAGGCACATATGACATATCTAACCCAAATATACATAGCCAATATCCACCACCACGACTCGATAACCATATGAGAGCAAAACTTCCCTCAACGTTCTTAATCCTCATGTCCCTCGTGACCTAATACGCGCTTCTAGTTCACTATACCATCAAGATGGTTCTGTCTCTTGTTGTGGTTTGAGGTTTCATTCAATTTTTTTTTTTTTAAAAATCCCTCAAAAAGTGACGGTAGAGAGAAGTTTCATAGACCCTTGGAGCCAGGGAGGTCAATCCACTGAAGCTGAGCCTCGACCTCTCCACATTCAACGTGTCGTAATCTGAGAACGAGATCCTGGACGAGCTTACCGTCGATCCAAGTGACTTTAGACTCCTCGGCTAGACAGTTGCGACGAGATGGCTGAACCGTGGTCACAATGGTTCCACTAGGAAGTCCATCAAGGTGCATCCTTAAAGCCTCGATATACGGCTTTATCTCGAACTCTGCATCACCCATCTTGTCGTCCTTGCTAAACATGTCATGGTCGTACACCGTCTACATATTATTACACAAGGTCCTTATCATTACCAAATATTAATAAACATTATAATCATGATATTTTTATTAATATGATTTACTGTATAAACAATTTACCAAGAGGACGGTAAGACTAGGGTCTGTGACGGAGAGAGTCAGGTCTTCATTCCATTCTGGATTCACGTCTTTGTTAATGACACGAGTCTTCACTTTCTGCAGACAAGATAAAAGTAACTTGAATATTTCTACGTAATGGAGAGGATATTGTGAAACTGCAATATTAGATCGATGATTGTAGTAAACATATATATAACCTGTTTGCCCATTTTGACGACGATGTAAGGATCACTGCTATTGATGTCACGGACGGCGAGATTGACGCCACGTTTGACGCGTATTCTAAGGAGTCCCAAGAGATCGTCCATCAGCGAGCTTGTCATTTATATATCTACCCCACTCTCTACGATTTTCTCTGCAGATTCCACTGCATGCACACGTTCAGATCTCAATATTTCTGTCTGAGAAACAAACTCAAGTTAAATCCGCGTGGGAAACGAGAACAGCAAGTCTCTTCGTCTTTATCTCTGTTTTTGTTTTGAAGCGAAGCGTTTTGCGTGAGAGACAAGAAAGGAGTAATGACGATGTTATTAAAGGGATGACCTAATTTCACAACTGAATAGACGAGGACCCGGTGTTTACGATTGACGTTAGTTTTTGAAACCCAATTTTAGTGAACGCTAAAATTTCGTTACAAGGTAATATTTCGGAGAATGTATATAAATAAATACCTAAATACCCGAATGTTTTACTTTTTTTTTTTCTAGAAGAAAACAATTGTAACAACAAAATTTGCCTGTACTCATTTTCTAAGGAACGTACGTTTGCTCATTGAACGCTGAGGTAGAGAGACAAGAGAAGGAAGTTTCACGGGAATAGCTTTCGCAATCTCTCGGCTGATAGGGACGCTCGTTTGTTGTTTGGTTCCAACACTAGTGCGTGTCTGAAATCTGCATGAGTTTTAAATAAGAAAGAAACAACAACGTCTGAGTGTTAATCATTGGTTTAGATAAGATCAGATCAGATCATGGTTCTTTAAAGCTTACCATCCATGGCTTCCTTGTAAGCGCCTAACATTTCCCTTGCGGTTCCTCTTCGTAAATAGGCTTTCACATTCTGAACCAAAAAATAATTATTATTCTGTCAAAGATTCAAGGCCTCTCTTACAAGAGAAGCTAGCTTCTGTTTTAACTTAAAACAAAATTACCTTCTTGTCGAGGGTGATGGCTTTGGTACAGTCTTCTTCGGCTTGAATAAAGCTGCATGTATAGGATTTATCAAAATCAATGTCACACAAAAGATCTCACTTTAAAAAGGGATTTAAACATAATTACCTCCCAATTTCAAGATAAGCAGCAGCTCTGTTATTGTAATAGGTACCATTGTTGTCACTTAGCTTAATAGCTTCCGAATATAGACCAATAGCTTTCTGCCACTGCTTCTCTTTGAATGCTTGGTTACCCTGGTTGGTTTTATACGGACAAAAAAAAAAGTTAAGGAAACACACAATGCCATTTTGCAAAATGAGAAGACCAGCTATGGAAATTATTTGACCTTCTCTTTGGCCATTTCAGCTGACTCTTCTTGGCTGATAGTCTTTTTAGATGATTTGGGATCGGCAATAATGCTTGAGTTCTCTTGCAAAGATGCATACATTGTCTGCACTGTATCTAGTAAAAAGCGGTCACCACCATGTCTCGCTATGAAAGAAACTGAAACAGGGCACTTCTCGTGGTGTCCCAGCGGCACAGTCACCTGAATTAACCGACCAGTAAATTGTATTATGTGGATTGTGTTTGCTAATGTTGTCTGGTAAGTGGTCGCTTTGTTGTTGATATATCTGAGGGTCCAGATACCTTCACCATCATTTTTACTTGAATAGAACAAAAAAAAAAAAAAAAAGAGAGTGAGATCTAACCTGACAACAACCCGATATGCTGGCAATGCTAAGTAGACTGGAAGCTCGGTTTTGATAGTCTTCAGATCTTATCTCTTTGCTACCAAGTTTTGGAGGAATAGTTGGCATTGTTGGGATAACCAGAATGCCATCATCCTTAATTCATGGGAACACATAAGCTTACAAACAAAGTCGATCAAGTTGTGGACGTCGCAAGGGAATAGCAGGGATACCTTGAGAAGTGAATTAATAGCAGTTCGTGTCTGGTTTCTGATTGCATTCAGATTCTCAATCTCTTCATTAGTTAGTTCTGGGTTCTCACTCAATTGTGAAGAAATCACAGGATCAATAGCTGGCTTCACTGTATTGATCCAATCGCCATGGTTTTGAAGAAACTCGTGCCTACAATAAAAGCCAAAATCGTTATAGAGTTCAAGATCGAGATGCTCACATTCTCTGAGGGTGAATAAACAACAGGCACACCTTTGAAGAAGCTGCATCACATTTGCCAGTAGTCTTGATGTAGGGACCTTTGTGCTAGCAATGGTTTTTGTAATAGCGAACTCTTTCAAGCTAGGAACTTTAGATTCGAAATAGTTCTCCAGATTCTGATTCTTCAGCAATTGTCCTAAAAACGAAACAAAGGACACCTCAATTATTAATCAGGATATATGAAAGAGACGGAGGAGCTTAAGGAGGTCGGCATACTTCCGAAAAGCTTTTCAGCTGATTTGATCACCACCTGTGTAACCCGGTCCACTGGAATCTTTAACAGCTGAAAATAGTCATCAGCTAGTATGATTTGCCTTGGATTCCGTTGTGTGGCAAATGGAAGGTGCAAGAGTACATGGCCAACGCGACGTAGGGTGTTTGGATCGCGAGCAAACCATCCTGAAGACAATATCTATTGATCAGAATCAACCTAATGCTCATATGATATTGTGCTATATGTAAACTGAAGTCAACTTGTAATATACATATTTATGACCTAGTATATAAGGTCCAAATCAGTCTATCACAATGGTCTAATTCACACATGTATATGTATACATACCTACAGAGTCAAGACTAGCAGATACTGGTATGATCCCTGTGTTTGAAATAGCCCCATGGGAAGATTTAAATCCAAGAACGCCACAGTATCCAGCAGGCACTCTGACCCCGCCAACTGTATCGATGCCTGCAATGACAAAAATTATCAGAGTCATGTTCTTATGAAAACTGAACAAAAACCAGTAAACTGTCGAGATTTAAAATTTTAGAGATGAATGGGAGAGGCCAATGAGCAGACTACCATATAAATTTGTTAGAATCTAAATCAAGCAATCATATTAGAGGCCTAATCAGCTAAAAGTGAGCTGTTAGATTATAATATATTATGCTTATACAGAAAAGCCGGGGTGTGATTCTCTCTTGAATATTTTTTCTAGACTCTACTATAACTAGAAGGTTATGCAAATGCAAATGCAAATGCAAATGCAAGCGTGTGTTATAGTCCAGTGATTCATACAGCCCATTCTAAGCGTTCACTATCAAATTTACGATGAAAGAAAGCAAAATGAGTGCAGAATTCTTCTTATATGTAGTGATAGCAGCGTCTTGTCTAGAACTCAAATGGTGGCAGCTTTGATGAAAACGTAACTGTTTACGACCGGTTCAGGAATTTCCTAAAGGAATATAACTGTCAACCATATTTTGTAACCAAAATTTAGGTCTATCTTGCAACACACTTCCCTAACTAGGATAAAAAGAATCTAGTGAGCTTACCTAACGCAAAATCCACAGCATTAGTTGCTACAGCAACAGCAGCTCCACTGCAAGCGCCACCAGGAATACGAGAAGGAGCAGCAGGATTTGTGGGAGACTCGTAATGCTTGGTTTCTCCACTGATACTGAAGAAAACAAAAACCAAAATGACAAAGGAATGCTTACTGAAAGAAATAAGGATTTCTCACAAACTACAGTTCCTTAAGGATATAAAACAACCAAAAGAGAGAGAAACGAACCTGAAGGCAAGTTCATCAACAACAGTTTTGCCAACACAAGTGGCTCCACCTTCAACGAGAGTTGAAACCACAGGAGACGTCGAAGAAGCAGGTTCATGCGTCCTGACCCAATCTGGATGACCAAAGCCAGTCACGTAGCCAGTAACATCGAATCTGGAAAACAAATGAGAACAAAAAAAGAAAGAGAATAACTTAAAGCATCATTATAAACCCTAGATTGAAAGTCAAAACTCCACACAAGCGAATGATTAACATATATATCATAGTGTATCAGTGACTCTCTCTCTATGAAAGTCACTCATCTAACAAACTCATAACACACACACACACAAACGCACAATTGATAAACCGAGAATTAGGTATAACTGAATCAAGTATAAGTTCACGAACAGTACTCTAATCCGATCTGAGTCAACGCATAAGATTCCAATCTTGACTAACACAGCAAAATGATTCTTCATCTCAATCCCCCAAAAACTTCACCTAATCGTAATAGACTTATATTGAGTCGAGAGGAAGGGAAAAGAAGTATGAAGTGACTTACAGGTCGGAGATGGCGAAGGAGAGACCGGTGAGAGGGTGAGGGGCTTTGGGAGGAGCAGGCGGCGGGGGAGGAAGGAGCAAGAGCTTCTCGATGAAGGCGCCGAAGTCTTCACGGATGGTTTTCTTCAGCTTCTTAGCAGCTAAGAGAATCCCGGCGATGCCTAGACCTAGAAGCACCCAGAGGTTCGAAGCGTGAGACGCCATCGATGACGTTTTGGGCTTCTTTTTTTGCTGTTTAAAGATAAGAGAAAGTGAGAGAGAGAGAGACGGAAATAGAGTTTTGATTTGTTTTTGTGTGTTGCGTTGCGTTTCTTGAGGTTATTCGCGTTGTACCAAAATAAAATAAAATTAACTAATTAGTTTATATAAAATAAATCTATTTGTGTATTTTTAGTCAAATTATTTTCTTTCTTTTGCTTAATAGAGTTTCGCATATGTATACACTCTTCACAGAAATTAAAAAAAGTGATAAAATTCATCTCCATCCTTAATAATTGTATTAATTTTCATAAGCTTTTAAATAATTAAATATATTTAGAGAAATTAGGAGCTATATCAAAATAATTCTACGTAATTAGGAGAATACCAACGAAGACTATTTGGAGACTGTACACATTCATATATGACTATGCTACACCTATGTTTGACTAAGTGTTTTTTTTTCTCTTACAGCTAATCTAAATCTTATAGATAGATTCGATAAAGTCTTATAACCATGTGATTATATTTTCCAAAATCTCTGTTTGTCAGAACATGAACAATTAATCTCCTCCCCATGATTTTAAATATGAAACTGTTATTGAACTTTTTCTCTTTCATCTAGGCAACCCACTCAAGTATCTCTCTTCAAAAACAAATCTTAAGTTCACTGAGAAAATCCTACAAAATATCATCAAATTTCACATATCTCTTTCTCTTTTATCTCTAAGATTTTTCAAGTAATTTTTCTCTAAGAACACGTCTCAATTACACAACAAAACCCACATAAAATCCTTTCAACCACTGTCATAAAGACAGAGGACAAGAAATCTGAACCACCGCCATGCTCCATTCTGGAAAGGATGTTTGTGGTAGGAGGAAGACCAATTGGGGTCATGGTAACATTGTAACACAAACCCTGCGGCATCAAACAAATTCTCAATGCCCT